AAACTAAATATTTAATTTGTAAGTTAAATATTTAGTTTATAAACTATGACATTTATAAATGTATGAATCATATGGTGAAAAACTGACTTTGAAAAATAAATCTGTTCTTTTTTTCTTATAAAAGTCTAAATAAAACAAAAATATTGGTGGTAATTTTTGACTGTGTAACGTTACAAATGACACCTCATACACATTACAACATATTCTGTGTAATTTTACCAGTAAGAGAATCAAACCAGCATGAATCCAGTCTTGGGTTAAACAGATAAAAGACTCACATCATTGATGAGCATGGAGGCGTTCTTTGCAGCCTGGAAGACTGGAGTGTCGCTGGTGTAACTGAAGTTACCTCGGTTTTTCTCAAATGAGGCTTTGTATAGTCTCTGTATAAAAATAAAAATAATAGAGGAGGATAAAATCAGAGCATGCTTCAATAAAATGTAGACTTTATTTTAACATAGAAGAGAATAAATGTATAAATTACCTCACTGTACAGAGCCTTGTTCTTATCAGCCAGCTGCAGCTCAGGAGTGTCCCACGCGTAACACCCGAAACCCTTCAACCATTCCAGGTCTTCTTTATATTTCACCTAAAAATAAACACATGAAAAGGGTTTAAGACAAATGCTCAGTAACACAGTATAAAACCATCTATCTGCTGGAACACAGGGATGAAAAGTACTCACGTTGCTGACGTTATTGTTGACCATRCTGCTGAAGAAGAACTCAGGACGGTCCGGGATGGACTTCCATGTTCCCAGAGAGTTGATGTACTTCTCTCTGTATTTCACCTGGGATACAGCAATGGAGAATAAAGAACACGAATGAGACTGAGCTTTAGTATTTGTGACTAAGATTCAGGCAACGGTTTAGCTCCAGACCTCACTGATGTCATCTGTGAACTTGCGGTGGCAGACGATGTCCAGAGCATCCTTGTCTGTGTGGTAGTGGCCCTTGGAAAGCTCAAACGTCTCCTTGTAGCGCAGCTGAATACAACAAATGTTTTTTTAAATGCGAGACTCAGCAAACTTGATTAAATATATTAGTATATACCATTTTTTAAACCCATTCATTGCCACCCAAACATAAATCCATATTTAATGCAATAGGCTGTTTTTATATTCTTGTTCATGAACAAAAAATGACAGGAAGTCACTGATATACATAACTTTTTTACTGTACATAGACAGTCTAAAGTTTTCAGTTTCAAGTTTTTTTAAGGTTGATTTTATTTATTTTATTTATTGGGAATACTTACATCGCTGGACTGCAGGTAGGCTTTCTTGGAGCGGATCAGGAGAGGTGTGTCAGCAATGGCAGTGTACCTGTGCTTCATCTTCTCATACTGCTCTTTGTATTTGTTCTAAGGAGAGTAAAAAGGTTACATAAAGCATTAAAGTGTTTAACAGGAGAATAATGTCAATGTTAATTTTATTTATACAGCACATAAAAACAACAGAATTTGGCCAAAGAGCTTCACAATTCAGCCAAATGAATAAAACAACAGAGCAACACATAAATGTAGACAATAAAATCAATTTAAAATACAGAAAAACATTAAAAACATTATCTTTAAAAGAATCTCAAACTCTACCAGAATGAAAGGCCAGGGAGTAAAAGTGAGTTTTAAG